ATTTTTGCGTTATTTCATTACATAGTATATTCGAATGATATTAGGATAATCTCACAATGATCAATGCATCTACAAAGACAAAGAGCATCCTGATGTATTATAATTTTGATCGTTAGAATAATATTTTCATGTATGATTGACAATCGTATGTGAGTCGGCGACGGATATAGAGTGGTTCATCCGAAACGAATCTAGTAAGTAGTAGTTGCACTGTGGTCATTACCCTGCGACCACGAGAGAATAAGGGATGGTCAGCCTTACCACAATCATTCTAACTGCTAATTATTTAAATCAGCTTAATTTACGAGAAAAAGTTATAGCWGCCGAGAAGTCAGCCACAACTCACATTACTCACGAGTCTACAAAATTGGTTGTATCACATCTGGAAATAACAGTTGAGGGTGACTTACGCGGAACTACTTGAAAAAATTCAGAAACAAATGTAAGCGCTTGGGATTTTGAAAATTTGAAGGGACTCCAAAGACCATTAAGTATTAAGATATGTACATAGTGAAATAGTTATTGTATGCCAAAGAAAAATTTGAGATGATATTATAGAGCCACTCAATTTACTTAAGCATTAGCTGCTTAGGCGAGGCAAGAATAAGGCTGTACCTCGATGTACTTTAATTGGGCTGAAAAATAAATAAATAAAGGAACTCAGTATCAGTTGCTGTTTAGCATGTGAAAATAAAACCTATTTAAATTGAGAATGTTTTGTTGAATCAATCTGTATATTATTTTATTGTAGTGTCATTGTTGCGCGTGCATATAAGGCGTCACACTCGCATAGAAAATATACTCACACATTACTCACGTACTATATAATAATTTATAAATAATATTTTGAAAGCTACATGGGAAACCTTTCTGATGAATTATTATTGTAAAATAACAAACAAGCGCGTTATATGAAATACGTCTACGTCATGCGTCTCTGCCAGTGGCATGAGCGTTGGCTGGCTGAAGCCTAGGGGAGAGTTTTTTTTACGAATCACGGGGCTATAAAAATGCTAATGTCCCCCACCATCCCTTCAGTAATAAAGTTGTCCATCCACATTAGTCCGTTGTTGGCACGACCATATCATATTATAATAATAACWACGACGCATATAATATAGATATTTTTGTTGTATTTTCATAATGTAACGATAATCTGTGTTATAAYTCTGCGGCCAGAGTCATCTGATGGCACGAGCATAGTTTTATTTTTAAATTAAAATTCCAGAACTAAGCAACAAATATGTAGTCATAAAATGAAGTTGCAAAGAGCTAAAATTTATACAGGTATAACTATTTTGACTGATACCGTCCTAAATAAATTATTGAGGTTAAACTTGTCGTAACTTCCTATATGCAATGAATTGTAGTCTATAGGTATCTACATAGTTTACATATTATTTATTGATTATACTAGAGTTTTTTGATTACTTATGTTAAAAAAACAACACTAATTATATTCAAAAGGTATGGAGATATTACTTTATTCCTAAATATTTTGGAAAAGACTTAGCATTTCAAAATGTAAGTTTCTRATCACATGTCCTCACCAGTAACCATGAAACAACACATTCGAATTATACAATGGTAAAATACKACAATTCTACATCCATATAATTATTCAAAAATAAAACTGATGAGTTGTGTGATATTATATTATGAACATCTATTTCTTTTAATCAGCGTACTCAAATACGATAAACGTGTCACCGAATGATTAACTATACTGAAATCTATTTAAGCTTTTTATACCACTATACAATATGTAAGCACGCTTAATGATACGATGAAAATGTCGTACAATTGATATCCAATACGCTTAATGAAATTTACTTACATTAGTATATTTCTTAAATTTTTATTTGTCGTATAATACTAACAATTTTTGTCATATTATGTTTAATTTTTTTTTTCTTTTGGCAACTCTTTCTATTACATCCGGTATGGCTGAATACTATATATAAAAATGCTCTGGAGAAGATCATTTTGGGGGTTGGCTTTMTTTTCACCCACTCTCCCCTCCTTGAACTTCATGGATAACCRCCACTGTAATGTATTCGAATATTGTGGTAACCAACATGATGGAGTTAGGCTAACCATAATTTGTTGAACTATTTACCAAAAGTAACATTTTCATCGGCAAATCCCAWTAATTAATTTTCAGCTATTTTCAATTGGTAATTTGAATGATAAATTCAATATTAGCCATGTTACGATTCCATGAACACTGAACGCGACAACAGGAGTTGTACGACACAAGTGCGCGACATTCCATGTATGGTTGTGTGACAAAGTTGACAGTTTAATTTGAAAATTCCTACTTTCAAATTCGAAGTATATATTATTATTATTATGTTTTGTTCACCCTTTATTTATTTCCAACAATACGCAATATAATGTATACATACTTAACAGTGTGCAATAAATACTTTCGAGTAAGAGTAATAACCGAGCATATTATTATCACAATTTATAAGCATTATGTATTATTATTACAGTCGTTCGTAGTAGAAGCGAGAGACCGAAAAATCATTACCACGAGGAGTATTTTTATGATGGAAACGTGCGAGTAAAATTTGAAATAAAAATTCCGTGTAAAGTCTCATGGTCTTGGACATGTGTGATAAATAAATTGAAATAAAAATCATCGAACATAGTGTCATGGTCGCTATTACGCAAGCTTTTCTTGATCATTTTTTACGACAGTATTATAATTGAATAATGTAATTTATGAAATTATCTTAAGGAATATAGAAGAGTTTTGTAGATGTTTTGCAGTATATTTTGGAACTTGAATTGATTAAGTGAAGCACAAAGTCCAATATATAGAATAGTCATTTAACCTTGTAGCTAATCTTTCATGTGATGATGGAGGGATATTAAGATTATGCCATGCCAAATACATATTT